AAAGTAATTCTGGTTGGCGATGTAAACCTTCCCAATATCGTATGGAAAAATGATTGCACTGGGTTAGCACCCACCAATTCTATTGACGAACTCTTTTTAGATAGTTTAATTTCTAGTCTTAATTTATTTCAATGTAATATGAACCCTACGTGCAATAATAACATTCTTAATTTAATTTTATGTAGCACAAGTGAACTTATTACCGACATCGTTATTGGTCGAGATATCTTCCAGTCTGGTCATTCTTCTATTGAATTTTTTTAAAATTTTCGGACAACTAATTTTTGTTATAATAAATGTAGAAAATCATATAATTTCAAAGCAATTAACGACAAAGACCTTATTAGTCTGTTTGAAAACATTCCTTTCGACATTATTGTTCCCAGTTATGATGTTAATGAAAGTTTAACTCTATTTTATGATCTAATTGACGCCGCACTCCGTGACCTTGTCCCCATTAAGACATTCAGACGCAAAATGCCGCTTTGGTTCGACCATGAAGTTAGAGCCGTGTTGAAGCGGAAGGAACATTTTTTTTTAATGTGGAAAAAATATGAACTAATACAGTATAAAAACGAATTCAATACAGCCAGGAAACAATTTAAAACTTTGGCAAAAAAGAAATATTCTCTCTATATTCCTTGTCCGACAACGTAAAAACAAATCCAAAACGTTTCTGGACTTGGATGAAGACAAAAACAAAGTCGTCCTCTTATCCTTCTGTAATGACTTACGGGGACAAGGTCGCGGAAAATGCTAAGGACAAAGCCGTCTTGTTTAACTCTTATTTTCATTCTGTTTTTCAAAAAGATTTGTCAATAACTGACCAGCATTTAGCTCTCCCTGAAGCTTCATTAGATATATTGGCATTGCCAGTTATTCAGGCTGAATCAGTTTATAAAGCGCTTTCTTCTGTAATAACTTATAAAGCATCTGGGTGCGATGAACTGATTAACCATGTTTTAAAGGTGTGTGCCAAGCCTCTTTTAGTTCCTGTCTGCAATATTTTCAACAAATCCCTGACTACTGGAAAGTTTCCCTCTATCTGGAAACAATCCAACATAGTTCCAATTTACAAATCAGGTTCAAAGAAGTCAGTAACTAACTATAGACCCTGTCTTACCATCTCTAAATTGTTTGAAAAAATTATGTTTAATCATATTTGGTCTTACGTTTCTATTGCCATTTCTCCTTGCCAGCATGGCTTCGTGCCCAGCAGGTCGTGTGAGACAAATCTAGCTTGTCTACTGACTTCCGTTTACGAGGCTATTAATGACAAGGGGCAATGTGATATTATTTATTCCGATTTTTCTAAAGCATTTGATTTAGTTCCGCATAATTTACTTATTCTTAAATTAAAACAATATGGCTTTTGCCCTAATCTTTTACCATGGTTTAAAGATTTTTTAGATGGTAGACAGCAGCGAGTAGTCATTGATGTAGAGACGTCGGGTTGGCTTCCAGTCCAATCTGGCGTCCCCCAAGGTTCCATTTTAGGACCTCTTCTTCTTAATTTGTATGTGAATGACATCCCGCTTTTATTCGAACATTCAAAATGTCTTATGTTTGCAGATGACTTGAAAATTTGTAAAACAATTAAATGTCTTGAGGACGCCAAAAAGCTTCAGGGAGACCTAAATAAACTCTGCTCTTGATCTAAGTTATGGGGTATGGTACTCAATCCACTTAAGTGCAATACCTTAACTATTACTTTAAAGAAAAATAAAATCGATTATATTTATTTAGTTGACGACAAACCGATTAATAAGGTGCTGCAACATCGTGATCTTTAGATAGCTCCCTTACTTTTTCTTTTCATGTAGACCATCTTCTTAGGAAATGCAATATGTTGCTTGGATTGATGTGGCGCAACTGTAAATATCTGGACCCACATTCTAAAGCATACCTGTACATTACACTTATTCAACCTAAATTAGATTTTTGTTCCGTAATTTATAATTCTATCTCAAAAACTCAGGCTTCACGTATTGAACGCCTTCATTCCCGGTTTTTGCGCTACATCAGTCACAATCGGACTAATATTAATTTTAAGTTTTCAATTAAATCACCCCAGTCCCGTAGAAATGACCTTATATTTCTTTTTAAATGTTTGACTTCTATCTTTGATTGTGAATTAGTATCTAATTTTGCCCTTCGTGTTCCTGTCCGTATTTTAAGAAATAATGATGTTCTTTACGTTCCTTTAAGTACAGTCAATATTTTAAAAAACGGGTTGATTAGTAGATTAAGTTCCTCGTATAACAAGTTAGTTCAGGACTATCCGTCTTTAGATTTATTTAACTCCAATCGGCACATTTTCCGTCGTAGCGTTTTAGGCGTGATTAGTTAAAATTAACTTTGTTTGTGTTTCTGTTTCCGTCGTCTCGTCTTTTGTTAACCATACTGTGGCGGATTTGTGTCCGCTGTTGTTTTGGTGAATAAATAAATAAATAAATAAATAAATAAATAAAGAATATATTAACAGCATGGGGGAAGAGAAATTTAACTGTGTTTGGTAGAAATACCATTATGAAAACTCTTGCTATATCAAAACTTTTGTACAATGCTAGCATACTGGATGTTCCTGAAAATATAATCAAGAAAGTTGACAAAATTATTTTAAAATTTATATGGAAAAACAACTGACAAAGGTAAAAGAAAAATAATGTATGCTGGATACGATCAAGGTGGTGGACTTAGGGTTACTGATTTTAGATCACAGGTAATGGCCTTTAAACTGAAATGGTTCAGGCTTCTATATGAAAATGACGATGGTGACGATGAAAAATGTAAAATCTTGCCATTGTTGTACTTAGAAAATTTTGGACCAATGTCAGTTATTGCAAACCTCTCAATGTTCCGTTACACTCAAAATTCCCACCTTTTTACAATTCTGTTGCTTAAGCATTAGAATGGTTTAATGAAAATCAACTTACTATTCCAGTAAACTACAACAATAGGCCAATTATAGAACAAATTATCTGGGGAAACAAATTCATATGTATAAAAGATAAGGCGTTGTATAATCGAAAATGGTCAGGAATCCTAAAAATTAAAGATATAGTAGAAATATAATAATTTTATTACCTCACAACTCATTAACAAATGAAAGTACAAACTGGATCTCAGAGTACACTAGAATAATAAATGCCATTCCTAATGAATGGAAGAGTAGTATATATAAGCATAGCATATGTAAAAATATAGATAAGGATTTGAATAAAAACTCATCGTTAAGTATGACAACAAGACAATTGTATAATTTGCTACAAAAAAATAGAGTACAACTTCCCATAAAGATTCAATGTAAATGGGAAGCTATACTTGACGAACGACAAATTGACTGGGACAAAGTTTGGAACAGAGGAATTTCTATGATCAACGAAATAGAATTAAGCAATTGAATTTTAAACTCTTACACATGATTATACCCTACAAGAATGCAATTATACAAATGGAAAATTGTCAGCAACAATTTGTGTACTAAATGTAAAGTTGTGGATGATGAAATACACATTACTGCGAGGACGCTAAAACTGTGTGACGTTTCATAAAAAAAAAATTAATTTAATTGGAGTACCCACGTAATCCAATATTATACTTGGTACTGAGTCGAGCTTTATAAATGTTATGCTAAGCCTTGGTACCTTTTGTATTGCTAAAGCACGTTCGTTAATGTTTTATGGTAAATGGAGGCTTGCTTCCACTACGACCTTGTTTGAAATTGAATATAATAAAAGATACTTGTTGTAAAGGAACGATTGTCAGCCATGTTTGGACTGACCCTGTATTATGCAGGTGTTTGTATGTGTTGTATAGCAGCCGAGATTGACAGACCCTGTATCTTGTCACATTAGAACTTATATTTTTCCCTACCATATGCGTGTTGCCCTAATATTTAAATAATATGCTAATTCACTTAGTGAATAACAAGTTTTTAGTCATTGACAAAAAGGTGATTGTATTGTTACTAAATTTGCATAAAGCGTAAATCCGTTGCCAGCCGGTCATATAAAAAGACTAGCGCGAGATTTCGAATTACTCTCAAATTTACTATCATATGATTGAGTCAACCCACAGCCAATTCTGTGAGGTTCATGAGACGAGCAGTTTTATTGTAAGCTTATCATGGGGCGTAGTGTGCATTGGACGCACGATACTGTATAAGCCCTGTCTCTTATACACATCTAGATGTGTATAAGAGACAGTATGTGATGTCAGTCGACATACAGTGAAAATATGCCAAAATCATGCCTATCTTTAATCAGTTATAGCTCCTTGGGATAAATGGTGACCCTCAATTTTTATAACATATTCTGAAAGCACATAAGTTGTGGATAATAAGTGTTTTGCATACTGTACAATGTTTACTTGTTAGCCTATTTGTGTCATCGGAATTAAATTCTAAATACAGCCTCTATTTACCCGTAGGGATATAGCTTACGTTGACTCTAAGCTCTATAGTCATGATCCACTAGCCTACTATCTAATTCATCATCATCTGATACCAAACAGTACGCAAATGGCGATGACAATGGTGATGATTGCGACGGCGACGAACGACGATTGTGATTGCAATGCTCACCATGTATCATAAATTAATCTCTTTCAGTAGTTTTAATGGCGCTTCTTTATTATGATAACGGGAACAAAGTATGACATAAATTTATAAATGTTTATGCCATTCGTGGCATATACTATTTATAACATAATAAGCCGGACAATGTATCGTCCGATCGTCGATCGATAAATCCACCTTCGCTTTTGGTGAGTGTTTGTCGAGGCGCCGCCGCGTCTCCGCCAATATGCTGATTGTTGGTGGCAGTAAAAGAAGATCGTCGTTAAAAACGATCCGTCAGGCGTCTTGTCGCAGGTTTCATTGAATCGCACCTACGATCGTCGGCCGTCGCAGTGTGTGCGTCTTTAATTTTGATCTCAATTGGTGAAGCTGGTTTCAGATGTATTCTTATCATTTATCTTTTCTCTTTATTTGATTACAGAACATTAAAAAGCACCGGAGTGATGATAGCTTTAATCTGGATTCTTGGATGTCTGTCACAAATCGTCTGTATATTCTACACAAGCCAACTTTTTGGACAGTGTTTTGAACTTTGGCCTTCAAGTACCGAGCGACAACTTTTCTACTGTTGTTTGTTTGTGTTCTTTTACATCATTCCGGTAATCATAAATACTGTCTGCTATACGATGATTGGTTGCAGGCTCTGGCGGACCACTACCGAAAGCAGCATATACCGCATCAACCATCCCAAATCTGTGATGCAACGACGGAGAATATCCACCATGATTATGCTGGTTGTACTGTGTTTTGCTGTCTGCTGGTTGCCATTCCATGTATTGGCACTTCTGGAAAACTTTCATTTTTTACCAGTTACACAGAGCGTTTCTTATCTTAAAATATTTTCAAAAATGTTGGCGGTGAGTAATAGTTGTGTCGATCCGTTTGTATACGCGTTTGTTAGTATGAACTTCAGACGCTCATTCAAGTGTGCTTTCCACACCTTGTTTAACAGCGATCATAACAACGTTGTACTCTTCGCGCCAGACCCTGACGATAAGCATCATTCTCGAATACAGAAATCGTTTACATTGTCGTCACGCACAAAAAGCTCTAGAAGTTCTGGAAATTCATCGTTTCCAAAAGTGGGAAAACCCAAATCTAATCTGAAGGATTTAATGGGAACCAGAGAAACCAACGTTTAGTGAAGCTGTGGATCATGGGTATATAATTTCGGCAATATCAACCGCCTTCGGGCAGTATAGTAGCCTACAAGAGATATTTTCTACACATTATCAACAAGCGTACAGGCGTACCCGTATATATGAGAAGCACTTACTTTTGTAGTCCCGACTAAAGCTTGGATTCCATACAATTGCTACACGCTATCGCCGACAGCTTTCGGTGATGCTGATTGGTCGGTCGAATCAGGGAGGAATTACATATTGCATCGGGGAGGTCTACGCAGTACAACGATTGAACTGAAAACAATGTAGCGACAATGTAGCGATTTTAAGTAAACCAGGCTTTTTTAAGTCCTATGCCAATTCTACTAAAACATAAAACAATAATATGGCATTATTACTAGGATAACTTCATGGACGCCTTAAAGCCCGAGTAGCCTAATAGAAATGAGCACGGAATAACTTGACGTAAGCTTACATCAGCACATTACAGTATGCTACACGTGCACATGTACACTTGGTAATTGTCTGTTGGTGAATTTCTTTTGCGGATTTTAGTGAAATATATATTGTAGACACTGAAGACTTTTTCTTTTATTTTGATTATGGATCGGTATCGATGAACATACCTAGGCCTAGACGTCGAATGATTCTCAATTTTTTAAATATTAATTGTAAACTAGCAGGGGTGGCACCAACATTTGCCCGACGATCCGAGGTCCCCGACGGAGGATCAATGTCACCGAGGAGAGCACAGTTGGCGTGGTCGGACGTCGCTCAAAATATTTAAGAAGTGGTCCATGGCGGCGAAGCCCGGAAAGTTTTTCAAAATCTAGGGGTTTCAAAGCTTATTTAATCGATTTCAGAGTTTACTAATAGGCCTATGTAGAAAGTACATACCCAAAGTATTTACTTTTCTGCATGACGAATTGTGGTTTTCTCCCCGACAGGAGAACATGACCCCTGACCCCCGACCCCACTGGCGCCACCCCTGTAAACTGCTGGTAGTTTCACATGCTGCATTTGTTAAAATTGAACATATGCTTTGTCGAGATTGTTATTCCGATGTCGTTTTTGCGTCAAGAGAAATAATACGAATGATGTTTACCCCACCTAACGTATTAGCGTACCCCTACCTGACGTGTTATCGTGTGCTCAGTACGTTCTCAAATGCTTGCTAAATATCTCGAAAGTGATTCGGGTGGGAATGGAACCCATGACCTCCAGATATCTAGCCTGGTGCCTTAACCACTAGGTTACCGAGTTCGTGCTTGGCGACTAGTGATGACTCCGATTCCCAAGTAGCAGCAGGTACTACATGCTATTCGTATTTTGCGTCAGGAGAAATATTACGAATAATGTTTGCTCTACCTGACGTGCTATCCTACTGAATGCTTAGTAACGTACTGAGCATTCAGTACGATAACACGTCAGGTAGAGCAAACATTGTTCGTATCAGGTTATTTTGATTGTTGTTATTGATGTCGTTGTTGTTGTCGTTGTTGTCTTCGTTGTTTGTTTTTTTTCAAATTCACAAGCTCTCGTACCAGGCGTCTATTGGCTCACACTATTTAATAAAGCTTGCGATTTGGTGCGGTGTAGCATAAATCCGAATACAGACGAACACGCTTACGCTTGGGTCAAAGTAGAGTCCCGGTACTCAACCTCTTTCTCAGAACAGGTTGTTCTTTGACTTTGACTCGTAGACTCTAATAACATTAACGGGCTGGTGTTGTTTGTCTTTAATTGCGTCACATGTGTTTATAGATTATTCCGAATCAAACTTAACAACTAACCAATCAGGAGAGCGCCAGAAATTCGTGCATGTTCTACAAAAACATAAAATTACGGGGCGGAAAGATCCACAGATTAGGTCTAACGTAGAAACTTATTATTTTCCAGGACCACAATAAAAAACATTTCTTTAAAATGATTGTGTCATCCTGGTTAAAGATATTAGTAAATTTTAATATTTACCATTGATGGCATTAGTAGGTTAAAGTGACGGGCGTGAGGAAGGGAGAAGACTTGTTTTTACATTATGCGTTGATAGGTTTTTACATTATGTGTTAGAAAATGCTTTACATATGCGTCAAAAGTTTTTACATGCGTTAGCAAAATTATTTACATTATGCGTTGATTTTTACATTATGCGTCAAACCTTTTTACATTATGCGTTAACCATTTTTTTACATTATGCGTCGTTTTTAAATTATCAGTTGTTTAATATAAACAGTACGACATATCATATAATAGGCCTATATTTGATTTGGTATAATCAATGTTTATTACTATATAAATCTATTATGCCTATTACTTTTATTTATATTGAATACGAACGAAATGTTTGTGAGAAACTGTACATAGAATTTTCTTCTAAAACAGTTCCCTGGTATAGTATTCATGTATGCCATACTGTACTTTACATTATTGCATTACCGGTACTCAAATAACCGACCAGATTCAACGCTGATTTTTATGCAACTTTGATTATGCTGTACGTAAACACAGTGTCTAGGCATAGTGATATTATAATTACAATATTAAACATTATGGTAATCCATTAATTTTCGACTACACTGTTTTGAGCAAATAAGATTTTGGCCTACGATCTACAGTATACACCTTAGCTTTCACATCACAGGCAATTTCATATATTCCACAGGCAGCGAAAACTGCTTCCGCGACGAGTCGCGAGGGAAAGTCGGCAACATGCATATTCATACGTATCAGTTCACCTAACTGACCTAAAATAACGTCCTCTGTAATTTCTGCCTTGAGTGTATGGGGAAAAATAATGCTGCCTGGCTTACGTTTTAGCACTTCTATTTAAACATCGTTCTTCACTTTGTTATTTCCCAAAGGAAATTAACCTTTAAAGCATAATTAAAAGGTAAGATGAAAGTTTGAATAACTAATAATATAATCTTATTCTATTAAGTTTTAAATCTAAGATAAATCTGCCGAAGTGCGTAATCATTCAGAACACCTAATATTCGGTAAAATTGAACAGCGCCCACTACGATAAATTTTCTGACGTTTACCTATTAATCTCTGGTGTTCAAACTTTTATTTTAAATTGAAGTCTTTTTTCAGTCGTTCAAAATGCCCCACAGACGTCTAGTTAGTGATGTTGGTGGCTTAAGAGTCGACATCACTTCAGCTCCATCATGTTTAGACCTGAGGTGAACAAACTTTAAAGATACACCTCCAGATGCCCGAGAAGTGGTACTCTCGTAATTACAACAATTATTTTTTCGTTTGACAGAGTTTAATTTTACACATAAAAAAAAAAAAATTTTCTCCATCGCCATGAAAATAGAAACAAAATCAACCTCTCTATTGGGTATGTACATTTGTTTATAAGTTGTGAGTTTTTATGTTATTACAATAATGATAAAAATAACAGAACATGCTTTCACAATTCTATTTTCAAGACATCGTTAATTCTCCTAAATTTAGAAAATGATAGTATAATACATACTCCAAGTATCGAAATGCACGCTGTCGTGTCGGGATTCAATATTTCGACATTAATTATGTCATCATCAGGAATGAAAAATTATCCGTATTTGCAAACTTATATACAAGTACCAAAAGTGTTTGACCAATCAAAACATTACCCCTAGTAGGTGAATAAAGATCAAAGCATTCCACCCTACTGATTAAAGCTACCTACAAAAACATGTCTTGAAATGAAATACATTGATTGAAAGCCGAGAAGCAAATATCACAACGAATCCATCTCACACAGAAGCACTAGTATTACTTTGATAATTAAATGGACGATTGATATTTATATCCTGAGAATTCATATCTGTGTTGATCAATTATTGTTCAGTTTATGAAAAAATACATAATTGCGCAAACATTCCAAGTGCACTCAAGAGGATTATTAACAAATTGAAGCGGTAAATTAATATGGATTCCAGATTAGCTATACATTGTTATTTTGAAAAAATACACATTGTATGAAATGACTTCAATACAAATCATTAAAAAAAACATTCCTACAGGCCTATTAATTCGATAATTAACTGAACGATTAACTTTTTATGCTCTGAGAACTCATATCTGCGTTGATATTGATATTCTGCATTGTGAAAAACAAAACATACTGTAGTAGTAGCAGCACAATGGCCAGAGTTCTCACAAGCGGATCAGCCTCTTTGACAAAGTCTCAACTGCGCAGGACTATGTCAAAGGTCAAGGTAGTGTTTGACCTCCAGAGTAAAATAGCCAAATACTGAAGCAAAGCTTTAATTACCGGTGTTAATTAAACAATCTAAAAAATTATGATCAAATCTACATAGGCTCTACGTCGTTTTATTTAGTTAGATAGACCTTTGGCATAAACATGCGCAGTTGGCACTACGAAATGGCTTATATTAATACGGTAGTGCTTTTAATAATCTTTATTGTACATGTGATCGTTATTCTTTAAAAATAAACCAGTATTTGTTTACATTTCCAGGACGTTTCACTACACTATTTCGAAACCAGATGAAAATATCCAAGCTAAAGTTGTCTCCTTTCGTATAATATATTTTTTTTAATCGAACTGTTTAACAACATTGTTTAGTCTTAAAACATGACATTGATGACCACACTCTTAAAAAACATTAAGCTTTATCCATATCTCTGTGGTATAATGATGCCAGCTAGTGCAAAACGAAAGCAACGTCGACTTTCCCGTCAATACAGACTAAACGTAATGTTCATTACCAACCTTATACTTCCAACAAGGAAATCCTGAGTAATCCAAAAATTCAAAAATTATATCATACCTTTATCACTGTGTTCAGCAAACTTGAGAAAAATGGAAAAACGGTTTTAAAATCGAGCGAGATACAAATGACCACATCCAACGTTGGATTATCATGTTATTGTTGATTTATGCGCCTTGAGCACATTTGGTGGAGATGTGTGCTTTATAAAGCTTTATTATTATTATTATTATTATTATTATTATTATTATTATTATTATTATTATTATTATTATTATCATTTTCCCAAGAAAACCGTTTTGATCATAGTATGGAGACAACTATAAAAACCACAAAAATAATTTGTTTGGTTCAAAATTAATGAAAGGGTAATATCTCCATCCTAGTACCCGGCTAACAAGTTCACGTTATAATAACGTTACAGTTTGGTGATTTTTTTTTCATAGAGCCATAATTAGTATTTAGAACTTAATTTTCATCTAAAAAACTCCGACTTTGCTACAACGTTGTGTTAACGTTATTTTCTGATATTCCTAACCACAACGTTCGCGAATATACTAAACGTGTTTGCTGGATATTTCATTGTACCCGTGATGCATTTTTTCTCATACAGCTAGTTGTCTCAGACTTAATTTGGTTTTATTTGTGTATGTTGCAAGTAGAAATAAGTTGTTTACTTAGTTATTTACTACTCAATTACTTTACCTCTTTATTAACTATTCTTTCTTATTTGTTTTGTTTGACCTTTCACCCAACTTGGTGTAGTGTACCATAATAATAATAATAATAATGATAATAATAATAATAATAATAATTTGAATATTTATAAAGCACTCTTACACAGATGGCCTGTGAT